ATCAGAGTTGAGGTTGGATGGGAAATACTTCGTGAGGTTGAAGGATCGTGATTGGTATTGGAGGGCTTTTCTGCCTGAAGGAGAGAATAGAGACCACCCTGCTTGCAACCCCTTTGGACCAAGGGGGAAAAGCCTTGCGGGACTCAGGTTCCCCAAAAGTCTTGTTTGCGTGGCTGGTTTGGATCTTCTGCAGGATTGGCAACTGGCATATACAAAAGGTCTCGAGGATTCTGGACAAGAGGTCAAACTTCTCTATCTCAAGGATGCCACTATTGGCTTCTACTTCTTGCCAAACAATGAACATTTCTACTGCCTCATGAGGGAAATCAACAACTTCGTGAATTCTGACTGTTAATATACTCTACTAGTGCTAAGACTACTACTACTACTACTACTACTTAACCTTACCTTACCTACAGGAGGCATACATAGCTAAAGCTTGACATTTTACTTGGCTTCTCTTCTTTTTTTTTCCCCCACTTTTGTATCTTGTCCTTTTCTTTCTGTATTTCGCAGTAAGTGTGTGTAGTTATAAAATTGTGTAGCATTAGTTATTATGGTCATAACATCTATGGTGGTCAATTTGAGAGTTCTGTGATCCGCGGACAACTGCTTCCTGTTCTCTTTTCGTTGGTTTTGGAAGGTAGCACCAGCTCTGGCAGTACCGGAACTCGGTTCATTTGGGGGCTTTGGTGGAACCACCGTATACAACGCCTCACCCCCTTTTAACGTTTTAAGTTTGGTGGCAGGAGGGAAAGATAGAAGACGAGGATTGGTTCGCTTTGTTTGATTAAGAGAATGTTTTCCTCTTGTAGCACTAATTACTGAATGTGAACTGGAGAATGTCAACCTGTTATATGAATCTGTATGTTATATGTAGTATACCTATGTTATATAAAATGTCTTGGATGTTTGGTTTTGCATTTTAGTTGGATTCTCCTTCCGTCTCGATGTTGTTTGAATTTATGGTGTGACAGATGTTTGTATTGAGTTATTGGAGATGTATGGCATAGAGAAGCATAATAGCTTTCCAAATGGAAGGGATATTAGAAAAAACAAAATAGAATTGAAAGGAAAAGGAAGGGGAGTAAGGCTGTGATAATGCCACAGAAATTGATTTGAGGATGGCGTGTCCATTTGACTAGGAAAGTAAAGTTAGGCCTTTTGAGTTTTGTCTGTTATAAAAGGGCATTGTGTTAAAATTTGGCGTTGGAACTTTGGAAAATATAAAGCAAGGTGATGATGTTTAGAATCTGAATCATAAGCAACAGTATAATAGAGGTAAAAGGTAGTAGTAGTTGTAGTAGTAGAAGAAGTAGTAGTGCCCCAGTAGTAGAAAGAAAGGATGAATATATTGTGTGCCTTTTGATGATTGATTAATCCATTGTGGTTAGGTTGAAAAAATATGATTGGTCCGAAAAAGTTGATGCTAAATGTGAAGGTGGAAAGGAGAGTTGTGCGTTTTGTTAATGATGTGGTTGACAGGAAGAATATGTGATGAAACGTGGAAGTGAAGTTGAGAAGAGGAGGAAGGAGAGGAGAGGAGAGGAGAGGAGAGGAACGTTGTTTTGTTCTACAATCCTAAGAGCACCAAAAGGACAAGAAAAGCTTTCACGCGAAGAATGATTGGCAGGAGTTTGAATCATTAAATTTCTTATCTTTCAACATCACTCTGATTAATTCTTGTCATCTCCTTATTGCCTCTTCTATCAGGTCTGTTTGGAGCTTGGGAAAACAGCAAATACGGGAATTTGGCATTGTTTTGACGAGGGGAACCCATTTTTTTAGTGGTTGGGATTTTTGGATGTATTCTCAGGGACCACTTTTCGAAACCCACGAAACCCAATTTAAAAAAAAAAATTAACCCTATTGGGATCGCTTTAAACTGTTTAATGCTCACTAAGTGGTAGGGAACAGCTAAGCTTCGACAGTGACATTGAACCCTGTCTTTTATGGACTTTTTTCTGCCATATAATATCTAAACACACAACAGTTTGGTTTTGTAAGTTTGATTTTCACCAGATTATCTTGCTTAATCCATGTCTTATAGTGAATTGTCCTTAGTAAATTAGCTGTTTATGTCCTGAAAATATTCCCATATACGACACCGGGAGGAGTCATTGTCAACAAACCAGTTTTCTTTATTCAGGATTAAGGACACAAAACTTCATTTCTTTGGTCGGTCCCTTCCTTTTCAATACAATATTAAAATTAACCACTCATTGCTTGTAGTTTGCGCGTTCGCAACATTATGATGATTCTTCTATTCAGATGTGTGTGTCATTAGTGTCCAATTTTATTTAGTTATACTAAATCCCATAGTACCAACAATTATGTCTCCAACTTCAATTAACAACCAACTTATTTTCTTAATATACAGGCTTAAAGCTGCTAAAAGACAAGTAATGATATTTTTTTGCAGGGTAAAGAAATTACCTGAGAAATGAAAATCCAATTATCTATGTGATCGAAGAGGAATTTGAACATGACATGTGTCTTGTGTTCTCAAAAGTCAAAAGTAGTTTTGTTGTATAGTCCTAAGATGGGATCCAAATGGTATGCAGTGGACAACTGGAGAAGATATAGATAATTTCAAATGTTGAGGTGTATGTATGTACAAGTTCTAGCAGCTCCACCAAGTGTTAGGTCAATATTGATGTTATAACAATTCTTATTAAAAAAAAAAGCTATAGGCTTTGAACAGCTTAGGCAGCACATAGAATCTTCTCATTAACATTTTCAAAGTGTGACTTTGGAAATGTGACACGAACTTCGTGAATATTATTAATGAGGTTTGGACGACAATGATAAAACAAAATATTCCCATTATAATAATAATACTACTACTCATAGGCTTTGAGTGATTGTAGTTGTAGGTGAGTGGACCAAACCAAACCATATTCACACCCTGGCAGGAGCAATACTATAATACTTATCCATAGTTTTCAGGCTACTTTTTTAACCTTTCTCACTTTTTAATTTCAGTATTTTCACACTTTCACTTATCTTGTACCGTTCACTTACAACAGAAAATACCCTATTGGAGTTTTGGGTATACAAATTATATATATTTATTGTATAAGCAGTGCTTTGTAATGGACATTGTTATTGTTGAGTTTTTAATTCTTAATACTGTCACTGTGTTTTGCATTTTTAACTCGAATACTGTCAGGATAGAAACAAAATTCCACGTTAAATAAAATAAGAGATAAGAGATGAATATACATTTATATAAACTGAAATATCTTTATTAATAAAAGATTTTTTAGAATACCAAAAACAAAAGTTTGATTCAAATTGTCTTTCTCAATCTGTTATGTAAAATATACTGTCAAAGTATAGTATTTAATATTTATTTTATTAGTTTGCATTACAAGTATTTATTTCATTAAATGTTTTAAGTAAAAATAATTAGAATGTGTTAAAAAGGTTCTTCTGATTGCATATTAACATTTTCTAATTTAGATAATAAAATTTTTAAAAAATATATAATTCTGAAAGAATAACTTAAAAAGTAAAAGAATATGTTATATTATTTCAAGTGGATAGTTTAGAGAATTATACTTGATGGAAACATTAGACTGGAGACAAGAGCTGGTTAAAAAAGAAAAAATAATCTCCATTTACTAAAGAATAAATTTGTTGAATAAAAAAAAATGTATCTCATTTAGATAATATATTAAAATTACAGTTTTGATGTAATTCCCTCCATATATCGAAATGATTAAAAATAGCGATATACGTCTATTTGCATTTACCCAAAAATTCATTTTTGATTTGATTATAAAATAAGAATTCAAATAGTTTATTCTTGCATATAATTTCTTTTACTACATTTAACAAAATAAATGAAAATTAGTTGAAAACTAAAGTTAATTAGTTAATAGTAGTTTCTTGGTATAAAATTGAAAAACAAGTTAAAAATCAAATCGCACTTTTGGTTGAGTTCGAGCAATTCAAGTCGGTGAGCACAAATTCAATTAAAGTACATATTTGATTAGATTAAGAATAGAGACGAAAAAAATACTTATATCCTTACATATTTACGAATTTTATGAATAATTGATATCTTTAAATATTTATTATTAAAAAATAGTAAATATTTTAATATATACTTATAAATGAGTTAAATATTTTAATATATACTTATAAATGAGTTAAATATTTTAATATATACTTATAAATGAGATAAATGTGAGTATTATATTATTTGTATAATAAATATTTACGGTCTGAAAAAAATAAAATAAAAAATTAATTTATATTTTATTAAATTAAATTTAATTAAAAATAATTTATATATTATCAGATTAAATTTAATTAAAATTTTCATTTAAATATTTATATACACCCACAAATTTAAAATATCTATGAATAGTAGATGATTTTATTTTTTTTCGAATCATGTAAGGGATAGATACTATGACCTGTTATCATCCCTAGTCAGGACACAAAAACAAAACAGATAAAAGACTAACGTTGTTTCAAAACATTAAAACAAGTTTATGAAAATGAAAAGCGATTAAAATCAGACAAACCATTTTCTAATTTAATTCAGATTGGGTGAATTGTATTAGAATCCAGTTCATTGAACTAAAACGCAGTTTGATTCAAACAAATCAATTTTCAAGTTCGGTGCGATGAGAGAACCGCTTTCTAATTTAGTTCCACTCAACTTTTGTTGTGCTAAACAGAACAATTCACACCACAAATGTGGACATGCTTCAGTGAGGAACATATATATATATGAAGCAGATTTTATTCATTAAAAAACCAAAAAAGTAAAGATAATATAAAATACTTGCCAATCAAGGAATTCAACAAGTATTTTATGTGAAGGGCTTACTTTTACAATTGCATTAAAATTACACCTTTACTACGTACAAGGAGTAAGGACTGAAACTAGATATCGAAAACTCTTTTAGCAATGACCCAATAAAATTGTCACATTACCTGTTATCTTTTTAGATTAATATTTTTAATTCTAACTTTTCATATACTTATTTGAAATATTTCCTTTTATAAGATACAGAGTACAACAGCTAAATCAATACAAGTATTAAAAACACTCACCATGATGCAGAGATCAGGAGAAAAAACCAAAACTGTTGATGACTCATACTCCAAGTACGTTGCAAGATACATCACCACTAAGGCTATTTAAATTCAATATTAAAAAATAATCATACCAAGTCAATTCATCAGAAATAACCAGTAGATGACGATAAAAATGGTTCTAACTGACATCAAAGAAAATTGGAAGAAATTTACTTTTTTAACTTACCACATGTTGACTAGAAGCTAAGATGTATCCAATGTAAATGTGCGCAATAAACTGGTATTAGTAGACTTTTAGAGGCAGCCCTGGTTTCAAACTCCAAAACCTTGATTATTTGCCACACCTTAGACACCCTTCGCAAAATAGGGCAGACCTGTTGCCTTAGGTTTCGGGTGGTGCTGTATTAATTGTTGAAAGTAACCAACCGTGGGGTCAAAAAGCAATGAATTTCATTCCAACACTCTCCTTTGCAGGTGGAACCAAAAGGTCAAAAACTCCTGTCTATCTTGTGCTTTGATCTCTTCAGCCATAACCAATATATCTTCCAAAACAATTATCTACACGCATAGAGATACAAATAAAAAATCATACAGCTGCGTACCGCCTAGTATCATCCAGAGGAGAGAGCGATACAAAACCCAATGAGCAAACAGTGTTATTTTAATAAGCAGGTCACCAATAGGGTCAATGAGCACACAGTGCTATTAAGCAACCAGTAAGGCCAATGAGCAATTAAAGTGGCGTGCTTATGTCTAAGAATGTTAAAGTAAATCAACTCAACCCAATTCACCTTTTGATGAAGCACAAATTTTGTAACTTAATTCAATCTACAACAGATTGATGTGATGGGTTAGTGAACTTACTCAAGGATGCTTTAAAGATGCTTTGTTGTTCTGATTTGTTATATATATTTATTGCAGTTCAATCAAAAGTGAATTAACTCTTTTTCATTTTTTTATAACACTATAATCAAAGTGTTCACTTATTTCATTAAACATTTTTGTTAGAATGAAAACAGCTGTTACAAATTTCTACGAAATTAGGCATTACATAATCATGGAAATTAGAATAATTGATTCCTAATTATTAGATGTATTTATTATAATTGATTTTGTATTATACTATAAATACATGGGTGTGGTATGCATTAGACACAATTCATTTAGAACGTTTACAATTCTATATGGTATCAGCAGTTTAGGTTCACCATCGGGTTTCTCTCTATTTTTCTTTTCAGGTGAACAGTACCTACGACCCTGTGTGCCCTTTTTTTTCTTTGTCAACGAGCATCTTTTTCTTTCGACAACCACCGGCACTGCTCCAATCCGCCGCTGCACGCACGACCACACGCCACCTATTCCTAACTGTCGTGTTCTAACCCGGTCGTACTCCTACTTGGCCGTCCGTGCTCCAACTCCACCAACCATTCTCCAAACTTGCCAACTGTGCTCCAACTTGGCAAACTGTGTTTCACCCGACATTTCTTTTTAGCCCATTTTCAGTATTTATTTTTACCATGGCTTCCCCTCTTGTTACTTTTACCAATGTTCCACTCATCCCATGTGAAAAACTGAACGAGACGAACAATTATAGGTCTTGGGCTGCTGCCGTCAACCTATGGTTTCAGGGTCAAGTTCGTGCTGACCTCTTAACGAAACAAGCCAAAGACATTCCCCACCATGAACAAGCCTAATGGATGCAAATTGTTGCCTCCTTGTTTAGAATTCTCTGGTTCTCTATTGATGCCAAATTACAGCCCCAATACCATGCTTTTACTACTTGTTATGATGTGTGGAACAAGGCCAAGAGAGTATATCGCAATGATTTTCATTGCCTTTTATAATGTTATTTCCAATCTTATCACGATGAAACTGGAGAATCATGATATACAAATATATCTTGGTAAGATCAATCGCTTAATTGCTGATTTGGAATCACTTATGCCTTTCACCAATGATGCAGAAAAGCATGCTGAACAACGAGGCAAGTTTTTTACAGTCCTTACACTTGTTGGACTTCCACCTGAGTTTGAATCTGTCCACAATCAAATCTTATTTGGCACCTATATTAAAATATGCTCGTGAATATGTGTTGCGTATCCGAGTATGGAACATAACTAGAATGTTTCCTCACACACTCTTACAAACAAGGAACAATGGAAAATAGCTGAATAAACCTCTTTTATTGAATTGAAATAACTGAATCCAAGAAACAAACAATAATTGGGAGTAGGATCTCCGTCAGTCACCTGAGAGCATAACCTCTCTTACAAAACTCACAAATCAAAAGCATGCCCTAAACCATAGCGTCAGGGCTTTATTTATAATTATTATTTTCCTAGGATATATACTTCTAATTACCGTAATTAACAATATTTCCCTAGGATACTGCTCTAATTACCGTAATTAACAATATTTTCCTAGGATATGACTTTATTTACTATAATTACTAAATATTTCCCTCCCAGGATGCTTCCTTGCTGCTTCCAACCGTTCGGCCTGGTCGCTCCCCTCATCTATCGTTCGGTCTGGTCGTTCCCCCCTCATCTACCGTTCGGCCTGGTCGCTCCCCCTCATCTACCGTTCGGCCTGGTCGCTCCCCCTCATCTACCGTTCGGCCAACTAGCTCCCCGCCATCTACCGTTCGGCCTGGTCGCTCCCCTCATCTACCGTTCGGCCAACTAGCTCCTCGCCTTCTACCGTTCGGCCTGGTCACTCCCCCTCATCTATCATTCGGCCAAGTAGCTCCTTGCCTTCTATCGTTCGGCCTGGTCGCTCCCCTTCATCTACCGTTTGGCCAACTCACTCCCCTTCTCTCTCTCTCCTATACCTCCTCTCATATACTTTCCAGCCCCTAACATTATGTCTTCCCAATTTTATCCTTTTCTAAGTTCACAGGGTATCCTCCATCAAACATCTTGCTCCCACAAAACCCCAACAGAATGGTGTCGTCAAAAGAAAGAATCGACACTTGGTTAAAACTGCCCGTACCCTTCTTCACCACAATATTCCTTTTCGCTTCTGGGGAGATGCCCTACTAACAACATGTTATCTTTTCAACCGCATGCCTTCCTCCATTCTTAATAATCAGGTTCCTCACTCTATCTTATATCCAACACAAGATCTTTACTCCATTCCTCTTTGTGCCTTTGGTTGCACATGCTTTGTGCATGACCTTACTACATGTAAAGATAAACTTTCTGCCAAGTCACGTAAATGTATTTTCCTTGGTAACTCACGCCTTCAAAAGGGTTATCATTGTTTTTGTCCTCAACTTCAATGTTATATTGTTTCTGCTGATGTCACGTCTTTTGAGACTACCCCTTTTACACTTCCACCATTTTGGATGTCAATCTTAAAGTCGAACCTTCAGAAGTCTCGCCTATTCCAACTCAGGTGATTACTTCTCCTCAACGTCCTTTGCTTCAATACCACAGATGATTTCAAACACCAATTATGACTCACCCTACTAATCGTCCAACATCATCTCCTTGTCCAATTGCCCTTGCGCCTAGGCCTCTTGCACCTAAACTTCCTCTTGTGATACAAAAAGGTATCGTTCCTTTCGTAATCCCAACCTTCTCTATGCTTTTACAATTAATTATCATTGTTTGTCTCCATCCTATTTCTCCTTTGTTTCTTCTTCGGATTCTATATTTATTCCTAAGACTACAGGTGAACCCATGGCTAATCCTGACTGGCATTAGGCAATGGTAGGGGAGATGGCAACCTTACATTCCCATGGCACTTGGGACCTTGTTCCTTTACCTCCTGGCAAGCAAATGATTGGCTATCATTGGGTTTATACCATGAAAATCGGGCCTAATGGTCATATTGATCAATTGAAAGCTCACTTGGTTGCCAAAGGATATACATAGATTTTTGGCCTCGATTATGGTGAAACCCATTTCCCTTGTGGCCAAAATAAATTTTGTTCATCTCTTTCAAACTATGGATGTTATTCATCATTGGCTTCTTCATGAGCTAGATATTAAACATGCATTCTTAGATGGTGAATTGCAAGAAGTTTATATGGATCAATCCTCTAGTTTTCTTGCTCTCGGCGATTCTCGTCTTGTTTTAAGCTTGAACAGTTGCTCTATGATTTAAAGTAATCTCCTTAGACTTGGTTTGGTTTCAGTTCTATTTTCATATAGTTTGGCATGACCAGGTGTGAAGTTGATCATTTTGTTTTCTCTTTTCACTCCTCTTCTGGCAAGTGCATTTACCTTGTTTATATTGATGACATTGTCATCACGGGTGACAATGAGACTGGAATTCGACAACTCAAAAAGCACCTTTCACAACAATTTCATACTAAAGATCTGAGTCCTCTAAAATATTCCTTAGGTATTGACGTTGCTCATCAATATGCTTCTGGAATTGTCATTAATCAACGTAAGTATACCCTGGACATTCTTATTGAAACTGTAATGCTTGATTGTCGTCCTTGTGATACTTCTATAGATCCCAATATCCTTCTGGGTTAGGGGGAGCCATTGAAAGACCTGGAAGATATCCTCGTTGGGTAGGCAGACTCAATTATTTCACTATCACTAGACATGACATCCTTTTGCGGTTAGTAAGCCAATTTTTGAATGCTCCTTGCGATACCCATTGGGATGCTGTTACATGTATTCTTTTATACATAAAAAAATGCTCAAGGACAAGGATTATTGTATGAAGACAAAGGCAGTAATCACTTGTTACTCTGATGTTGATTGATCAGGATCACCATCGGATAGAAGATCCACTTCTGGATACTATGTTCTTATCGAAGGAAACCTTATCTCATGGAGAAGTAAGAAGCAAAATATAGTTGCTAGATCTAGTGCTAAAGCAAAATATCGTGCTATGGCAACAATCACCTGTGAGCTTACGTGGCATACGCAACTACTTCTACAACTAAAACTAGGAGACGTCCATGAAGCAAGGCTTATTTGTGACAATCAAGCTACACGTCACATTGAATCAAACCCGTTTTCCATGATAGAACTAAATACATTAAAATTGATTGTCACTTTGTTAGAGAAAAGGTGCTCTCTAGAGAAATCGCTACTGATTTTGTCAACTCTAGTAATTGGCTGCTTGACATGTTCCCCAAGTCCCATAGAGAATTTCTAGGGAATTAAGCATTACATAATCTACGAAATTAAGATCATTGATTCCTAATTGTTAGGTGTATTTACTATAATTGATTTTTTATTATGCTATAAATACATGTTATAGTCTACATTAGACACAATTCATTAATAACATATACAATTTTATAAATATCAAATCATAATCTACATAATCAGAATTTGTAAATAATTATAATAAAAAACTTATGAGAAAATGGTAAAAAACTAATAATAAAAGGTTGTTGCTCAAATCCGTTTAACTCACGAGTTAAGTGAACTGGATTCAATTTAACTCACATTTAAAATAATTGAACTTTTTCCAACCCAACCCGGGTAGAACCCTGTGGATAGCCAAATTGGCTCATGGGTTGGAACCAATTTTGACATCTCCACTTATGTCTTCCATGCATAATAAAATGACAGTTTTTTGCTAATGCTCCTCATGAATGATGAAATAGATTTTTCTTCCAAATATAGTCCAACTATCATTTACACTATGTACATTAAATTTTTTTCTAATATACTTTATTTTAAAGTGGCAGTACAACATGCAATGTAACACAGAATTATTTCTTCTTTTAATACCACTTATCTAAAGTCAGGTCTATGAATGTCTATCAAGAACATTGCAGAAAATGTGAATTATACAATTAGGAGAGAGAACCTACAGAATCAATTTGTCTGTGGAGCAATTTCAGCATTTCAGTAACATCAATGTGTACTTCAGCATTTCAGTAACATCTATGTGTACTACGTTTTCTTTCCCAGAGTAAAATGCAATGTGGCCTGCAATAAGAGGGTTAGTTGAGCCATCTCAAAGGGAGGGAAAAAAATCCATTCATACTTCTTAACCCTCTAATTCCCAGGTAATTTAAATCATTTGACAGCCATTTAAATTTTATGTTGGCATTTGAGCTATTTTCATCATATAAATAATGCAGTTTCCCCTTGAACAGAATCGTTTACAACAATTTATTCTTGTTTACAAAAAAACAATTCACCATTTTGGACTCAGCTTTGAGAGAGAGGGCAAACTCTGGAAAATGTTCCAGATACAACTTGAATGGTAGATCCTGGAACATCAGGGTCATGTACTGGTTAGAGAAGTTTGTGGTTCTACTTTTAGAGTTCGTATCAACAATGTCATTAGAAACATAATCTTCACTCCAGGATATACATACTTTATGATGGAATTGCGTCCAAAGGAAATTCGTAACCATGTTTGAACATTAGCCCCAGTGTTTTCAAAACCATGGGACTCTGGCCACGGTTGCTGTAAGCTTTGTGCATTATCCATAATGTTTTCTTCGTACAAGCAAGTTTGGCATTTTCCATCCCCTCAAGGACACGATACAATTCATATAAGGGCTTCTGTGACCCATGCATGACCAGTTTACAATGATATAAGGAGCGGCAGGTACTCCACCCAGAGATTTCAGCACGTCTCACAAAATTTTCTAGCTTTTCTACAGCATTGCACCGATAATAAGTTGCAGCAATGCATCTCAAGATACCCATGCTTCTAATAGATGGTCCATGTTCAAATGCCTTATTTATAGCATTCTCCATCTTCTCTAACAAGTCTTCCTTGGCATAGAGTTTAATCATCAACACATTTAACCATGGTTTGTACTCCTCTTCTGGAATAAACTTCAATAGCAACTCTATCTTCTTAAGTTTATCTGCTTCAGAACTTCTATAATAGGCACATATCATACTTCTGATTAATGAAATTTCATGTTCATTTACATGATCCCTTACAATGGAGTACGTATCTTCCATCTTTTCCAGGTTACCTGAATTTGCATACCCACGGAGCATTAGCAGGTAGGTTTTCATGTTAGGCTGGACAGGGCTCGACTTCAACATTTGAAACACCTTTTCCATATCATCCCACATCCAAGCTGTGATATATCCAACAATTAAGTTATTATAAGTGCTGATATTCATGGCAAGGTCTAACTTTCGAATCTCACGGAATGTTGCTTCCATGTGATCAACCAGCATCAAGCTACCAAAACTAGATATGAGAATGTTGTATGTGACAATAGAAGGATCGCAAGTTGAATCCCTCTTCAGATCACAAAACAAGGACTGACAGCAATCAGCAAGACCGTTGACCGAGAAGGCACTCATTAGCGCATTGTAAGTGCTAGTCGTCTTGACACCTTTGGTAGCAGCCTCCTTAAAGAGCTTAATAGCAAAATGAATATTCCCAGATCTACCAGCAGCTATTATACCCTTCGAGTACTCATTCGTATCCATAGGGTTTTCAGCACTACATCTTTTCCTTCTCCAGTTAAACACCTGAATGTTTGCCAACACAGTCCAAAAAGAAACAAGGTTAATTTCAAATTTCACAAACTCCGATTGAAAATCCAAACCATCAGTCATATTCATTTATGTTTTACAACAACAAAAGGTAACCATCATTAACTAAACAAAACTGGATTGATTTAAAATAAAACACAAGTAAAAGAAACCAAAATAGCAATACTTTCATGATGCTAATACAAAGAGAAACGCCTTAAAAAAAGAATTACAGTCCGATTTTCCATACCCAACGTAACTTTACCAAAAAAAAAGTCCAATTGACCAATAAGCCAAACTAAAAAACCAATTTCAAGTTGAGTTGATAAAAATTGAACCTTAAGAGCAAGGGAAGAATTTGATTTCAATTGATACATAAGTTCCAAGAACACATATCCCTTAGGGTAGCGGCTACTGAGATCGTCATACTTATAGTCCAAAATGCTCTGAACCTGAACATGGTCGGAGGAATCCCGAATTAGTTCATTCCTAAGAATAGTGACGTTGTTGATGAGATCCTCTTTGGTTGAAGTTGAAGAACAAGCATTGACGGTGAACAATGGAATGAGGTGAGAGAACGAGTCTGACACCGTGTTGAGCTGGCGATAAGATAGCACGGTGGAGAAGGAGGGAATGTGTTTGGGTTTGGAGAATCCACTGAAGTGGGATTGGAAGAGTAACAACTGAACACCGGTTGCGTGTGAAGAGAATCTCCACACTCGCTTCATGGTCGACGCCAAAAATTTTGTTAGGGTTTTACACAGAAGACATTCTTCCAGAGAAGCAGTACTATGCAGGCCTCTCCTTATCTTTGGGTTTGGGCTTTTTTAACCCATATTTCGTAGTAACATATTTTTTCTAATGTTTTCAATTTTATTCTTTGATAAATATTTTTTAAAAATTAAAATAATTATTAATTTTATTTTTTAAGTAATTTTTTTAAATATCTTTTTATTTCATAATTTTAAATTTTAACCACTTTTTTATTATAGAACTACCTACAAAATAAATAAAAATCTTTTGCAATAAATTTACAAAAAATATTTTAATTTTACAATTATAATAATAAAAATAAAAATAATATATTTTTTATTATTATAAAAATAATATTAATTTTAAATAATGATTTTTTAACAGTTAATTATTTTTTTTGGTTCAAATTACATTTAAATTAAATATAAAATTATATTTAAATCAAATATAAAAGATATATGTAAATTCTTTTGTATTTTATGTGACTTTTAATTTTTGTATTGAATATTTATTCCTTCTTTTCATTTATGTCATTCAAAATTTGATAAACGTACAAATAATAAAATTATAAATTAAATATTTAAAATTATTAAAAACTAAAATAATGTATTTTTATATTTTAATTCTAACAAATACAAAACAAAAATTTTCAATTTAACTTAAAATAATATAAAAGTATAACAATTGGTCAAGTGAGAATGTTGAGTTGATAATATCACCTTCAAATAGATATGACAATTTCAACAATAGAGAGGAATAAAAAAATCTTAAATCAAATATATGAAGCCAATTTAATTGTGTACGAAGATTTATGTAAAACTTGTTATTATTATTATTATGGGTAGGTTTTTTTTATAACTTTTATATTATTAGTTTATTAAATTAAAAAATCGTTGAACTATATTTATTACAATATTTATAAATTATTTTATATATTATTATTTTAATCTTATTAATAAAATAGTTTTAAGTAGTAGTTCTACCATAACTGTTTTAGAAATTTGTAACTAGTTGTTTATATTTCAATTTTTTTTTAACAAATTATTGTGTTTATTGTTTATCTTTATCCACAATATGTGCATGAGCTCTCATATCATACATGCCAACCTATTAGTCCATTTTATATTCTCTTTTTTATTAGAAATTGAGTTTTAAGCTTAACTAAACTCTACAAAATCGGTTTGTATGGTGAGGTTTACATCTCACAACGACTAGAGATAATGTCAATTATAATATATAAGTGGGGTACAAACCTCACCATACAAACCGGTTTTGTGGAGTTGAGTTAGGCTTAAAACCACTTTCTAATTTGGTATCAGACACATGGTTAGAGCCTATCCTAGCAATATTTCTTGTTTCTTGGGCATTTCTATTTCACCCGTTGTCAGATCACTATTGGACCACCCATTTCTACGATGTATATACTTCAGCGTGAAGGGGGTGTGTTGAAAGTTCCACATCGACTAGAGATAAGACCAAATTATAATATATAAGTGAGATGCAAACCTCACCTTACAAACCAGTTTTGTGGGGTTGAATTAGACTTAAACATATTTTCTAATATGTTATCTTTAATTGATTGAAACAGTTAAAAAAAACATCTAAGTATCTCGATTTCTCAACTTTCTTGGTTTCTCAACTTTCTCAATTGCTTAAGTTTCACGATTTCTTAACTTATGAAGGTTTTTAAGGTTATCAAGTTTCACAATCGACAAACCATACCAAGTCTCTTCATTCCATTGTCTTCCAAAACTATTACTTTCAAGTTGGATTTCATAATTTTCATACCCACCTTATGAGGGATGTTGGAGATATATTTGATATCTTCTTCAATTTCCTCTTATGATTTTTTTTGTTATAATTCTGTTTTAATTTTCTGTTGTTATATTTTTCCTTTACATTTAATCATACTTCATTTATGTATAATAATTCAGATATCATATTTTTAGTAAAAGATTTGTCTCACTTGTTTGTTATCAAACATTCCCACTTGTTAACATTTTAGGGAATAAGTTTGATGTGGATTTCTATTGTGGAAGATACAACTAAAGTAAATCATCTTGAAGCAGTGGAACGGTTAACACAAACTTAAGAACAGTCTATCACACATTATATCCAATGATACAAACACATTCTCATAGTTTTCAACTTTATAAAAACACGTGTCCAATCATATTTACTATTTATAGTAACTTCACATATGCTTGTTGCATCATGGTTTGACAACTTTATATCACTATTCATCATTTTATACGAGGAAATGTAAGAGGTCCAAATATTCAATGCTGGTTTATTTTTTATTATATTCATGTAATAATAACAATTAATGAATTTGTGAGATGGTTTTCTGAATATAATTTCACACATATATTTTACATAGGAAGTCATTGTCATCTTCATCAAAATTTGTAAATAAAGAAATTGAATTAGCATGAGCTGAGTTAAATGTCAAGTTCTTTGGCACGCCCAAAGAAATTGCAGAATTATGTCTCAAGGGGACTAGCTGACAAAGGAAACTAAAGTAATTTTGACCCTTTTATCTTGTTTTGTAGTGAAGAGGAAACATTCTAGTAAGTACATGTTGTTTTATTAGGTCTGGCAGCTTTCTTTGTAATGGGGCATGCCCCCCATTCATCTCTCAAGCAATGGTTGCTACCAACCACTATCTTGATCATGTTTAGCTTATTGCAACCATATTCTAATGATAGATGTTCATTTGAAATTTTTTTCCTTATATTTTCTCATTGTTTGTTGTAGGGGTAGATAAAAACATCAGCACTAATGAAAAATCCCATATAAAAAACTAAAATATTTCTTTTAAGCTATGATTTTTAAAATAATAGATTTATGAATTATTTTATTTATGGATTAATCATTTTTTTTTACTCATGCAGCACTTCCAACTTATCTTGATATCTTCCAAAAAAATTATTAAAAAGATTTAGTATCAATGAATTATAAACAAACCTATATAAAATATTAAAACACCACTTTAAACAATAAAAATACCCTTGACTAATAAATTTAACTATTGTTTTTACTAATATATTATTCGTTTTAATTTCATACGAAATTTTCAACTCGCTTTAATTCCCTGAACATAAGTGTCATCAATGAAATTACAGATTGAAAGTGTTATTATTTATTAATAAAATATTGCAAAGATATGTGCCATCACTTGCAGAGGAAGTTGAGATTGGACCGCAAGTCTTTGCCTTAGAGATATTTTCCTATATGCTCACAGCCAACGTCACTTTTGATGTGCAACGTTCATGTTTGTTTCCAACCTTGCTTTTCTCTCTCCACAACCACCGATTTTGTGTTTTAATTTTAAGGTTTGGTGCCACTTTTTACGTGAAGTACTCCTCAAGCTAAGGAGGGTTAGTTCCATCATAGGCTCTATAAATAGAGCTTTTCTTTCATTCAGAAGAGATCATCAGAATCATTATTCTCTCTTCCTCTTTTCTTCTAGTTTCATTCTCTCTCTCTTCCTAAAAATATTCTAGATTTATTTATTCTCTTTTTAAGAGATCTTTGCTAGTTCTGAAATTCTCAGAAATTCTGAGAAGTTCCTGTTGTATCCTGGGGACTTGCGCAATACACTGCGGATAAGTCCTTAACGAGAGTGATCTACACGCTTCAGGAAGTATATTGTTCGTTATCTTTATTCTACTTTTGTCAGTTTATACACCCTATAATAGCAGTTATCCACATTTTTTTAACCTCAACATGCTGAGCTTTAAGTGAATTAGTTTTTCCAAACTCGGTTGAATGTAAACTGTGACAACCAAAGTATATATCTACATGTGTCTAACAAAAAAAATACGAGGATTATTAAAAAAAAAATGCTCACATCGTAGCTCCTTCTCCGAACCTTCTTTGTCACTAAAGGAATTTAAGTTTTGTCTAATAACTAGAGTCGCGTTAAAACATGAAAATACGTAGCGAATTCCGCAGTCTACCAAAGTCGATCTTTGCGTAATAAAAAGTTGGAAATTTTTTGTGACATGTTGGCAATGATATTGGTTGCTCTGAAAAGGGAAACGAACAAAATATCTAACGTAAATAATAATTAATTGTGCATGAAAAACTACGTCGATTGTCGAGAAAACGGAATACAACCAGTACTGTGAACAGTAAAAAGCCTGAACAATTTGGTTGGCCTTCGACATCAGCTTTGTTTTTTTTAGTTACAATTACAACGGTCATCCAAGATTTTAACATAAACGTATTTTCATCAAATTATTGTATTTCATCTGTGCCTTATGATATTGTAAAATGAACTATTGCTATCTTGCTTTCTAATTGATATATATTATGTAAACCTCGGCACAATCCAGAAAATCCTTTTCGATATTTAAAATGAATTTGATATCACAAGTTTTTGGTAAAAACTATGTTGTAAGTAAATTATTATCTAAAGAAAAAAGAAGTATACACGGTATATATACACACATATATAATGTACGAGTACAAAATCTAGTTGAGAAATATTTTTAAAATGAGGATAAATTTATCAATTTACATTTTTATAATTGGAGTTTCTCATACGTTGAATGACATTATATGAATTAAAAGATGTATATAATAAAAATTATAAAATAATTTTTATTACCTTATTTAAAAATACTGAATTTTTATGGAGTAAAAAAATTTTAAATATTTTTTCTAAGTAATCAATAAGAGAGTAAAATAAAATAAAATAAAAATTACATGTTTTTTCTAATAAGATAGAAATTATTTATGTGCAATTTTTTTTGTCGGAGCAATTAAAAGAATGTAGTTTTTAAAAAAAACTAATTTTAACTTATATATCGAGTGTTAGAAAAAACATTTTTTTCTTTTCAATTTTTTATAGATATTTATGGAATAAATATTAAAACAATTGCTAAATCTTGAGCAAATAAGAAAATGCTTTGTGAGTAACTGACTACAATTTTTGTTATTTTAAAACAAAAAGTAAATTGGCTGTTTTTTACTTCTCAAAGAAAAATAATTTTTTAAATATGTTATCGAATTAATTATTATTTTTTGTCTTAAT